AGGCTAGTAGAGCACGGTGAACTCCTAAGATACAATGACCGCGTATTTAGAAGAAGTTTTCCAAATACCAAGCGAACTCAGAGAGAGATATGAGCAAATATGTGAATACTCTTTTTTTTCTCTAGAATGCTTATTTTTTCTGTGATTTATGAGCTAACCCAAGATCCCTATTTATATAGAAGGGAAAATCTGAAAATAAAATCAATTTGGTTTTTAAAATTCAAATTAGATTTTATTTTGATATTATCTTAATCTTATCTCAATCGATAGATTTTCTGCAGATTTGAATCCAATTTAAATTTCAAAATCAATCAAGAATATTATCTCAATATTCTGCAGATCTTTATTAAAGTTTCTAGAACTTTTCACATAGCGTGTTTTTCACATATTGGACCCATTTTAATTCTATCAAATAAACTCAAATCCAACAATTGACATCTCTACTACCATCGAATCGAATGTTCTCTCTCCTTTCTTCTATCTCTTTCTCTGCATCATTGGTGGAAGATTGAATCTTCGAAGATGTGTCATAGGTTATCATTTCCTTTTCTCGTTCATATATTTTCTTTTCTTATTGGATTCAATTCAAATTTATTTTTTTAATATAATTATTATTTTCTAAAAAAATATGTATTTATATTATTTAAATTCAATTTTTTTCGATTTTAAAAGAATCCTATCAAATAGAATTTGATATCATATTACATGTGTAGTTTGAGCCGAATCTATTTTGTTTTATAACCGGATCGAAACAGTCATTGTTATTATATGCATTCATTTTTAGAAAAATATTTATTTATCTTTTATATTATTATATTATCTATTAATTCGATAAGATTATGAATTATTTGAGTCATCTATTTTGTTGAAATTTTATAAAATATTTAAAATTTATAAAAAAAATTATATGTTTTTAAAAACATTATAAAAACATTTTCATGGGCTTAAAACATTGTTTTTGTTCTTTAAGAGAGAGAGAGAGAGAGAGAGAAATTTAAGGGTTTAGCTTCAAAGAGTAAAATTTCATACTTTCAAAGTAGAAACTGGATGTCCTTTTTTTTTACATTTTATAAAATAGTAGATGATTTTGGGTTGATTTATCTATATTATTATGTATTTTCCATTTCATTTTTTATTTTAATGGATCTCAATCTCTAAATTCAGTATTGGGCTTCCGCCCATTTCTATCACTGATCTTGTCAAGTCATTTAAAAAAATCAAGTGGCCCATTTCACGGATTTTTTTTATTTTTATTTCGTCGGATTTACTTTTTGTTTCTTAAAAACATTATTTTTTTAATTGGTAATTTACATTAGATTCAAATCTTAATTCTTAATTTATTACTATAATATTTAATTAATTTTAATGGAATATTCCAATAAATCTAAATAATATTTAAGGCATAGGCGACGCAGAAAATCATGTGCCTTAAATCATGGAGATTCATTGACTCCATTTTCTAAGTCTAATATGAGTTTTTGTGTTCATACTTGAGAAGGTCAGACTTCAAACGATTTCATAAATATTCAAGACTTATACGTGATTTCGTGTTATTGTAATGATTCAAATCAATACAGAAGTTGTTTTTAAAAATTAACACACGTTTTCCCTTTTCAATAATTTTTTTTGAGATTTTTTTTAATTCATCGTAAAATGTTTGTATATATATATATATAATCCTCCCACCTATCTTCTTCATATCCAAAACTTTTACAAGATACATGTTTCGGTAAAATATCTATTATTAGGGTTGTAAAATGGGGTGGATTTAGTTCGGACTTAGATTTTTTTGGATTGGACCAACCCACCCATTTATTATTCGGGCCTATGATCTAATCCTATAGAGTTTCGGACGGAATCAGACCGAGTTCTGGATTTTTTCTATTTAATAAGAAATAAATATTAGGGTATAATAATAACAACAACAAAAATAATGTTGTGTTGTTTAATAATTTTTTTTTAAAAAATCAGCAATAACAAATTTACGTCCATATCAATTACAATTAAAAAGTTTTAAATCTTAAAAATAATCATGTAAATTTTAAAATATATAAATTATCTAATATTTTTAATATATGTAATATATAAAAAAGATATTTGGTACAATAAAAAGAATAGAAAATATTGAGGCGAAACTTAAAAATCAAAATTAAACTCATAAAATATTTTTATATATGTATAAATCAAACTAAAATCTAATCAAACCGTCCAATAATATATATATATATATATATATATATGTAATTTTAATATATGTATTAACGAAACTGCTTTGAAATATAAATATATATAACATAAATAAAAAAATTTATATAATGTTGTGTGACGTAAGATCTCGAGTAAAAGTAGAGATCTAATCATCTAATATTTTTTCGAACTAAATGGACGAGTCAGACGAGTTTCAGACCGGACTCTATTCGAGCCTGATTTTTTTTGGATCGGGTCGGTCTACCCATTTATTTATCGAGTCTATATTATTAGGTCTAAACCCTTAATTTTTTGGACGGATTTCAGATCGGGTTTCGGACTTTGGGTTTTACTGACACCTCTATCTATTGTATTCAATTTTAAAATTTATTGAATACTTTTTAATATATTCATTTAATTAATTGTGTCGACATAAAATTATCTCCTATGCAAATTCCTTTGATTTTATGGCATACAAGTTACAACAATTGAGGTAAACTATCGATATGAATTCGAAAAGATATGAAAAGCATTAAACCTAATTTGTGATTGGAGTTTGGTATTGGAAATACAGTTGGATAGCATTCAAATCTGAACCTATTTTTTATGCCATGTTTCTCTAGGAATAAAATGTTATATATATAGAGAGAGTCAGAAAATATAAAATATAAAAAAAATTATAATAGATTCGAATATTTATAGATACTTAAATATTGAAAAATATAAGAATGTTGAATTCAAACAGTCAAATAATACACATATATATATATATATATATAGGAATTCAAATTCGAAATGATTTGAATTAATATAAATATAATTGATTTGAATTGAAATTCGAAATACGTTTCGATGTGATGTTATATTAATGGCCCTTTGAAATGACAATCACTAAACATGAGCATAGGATTATTTGTCCATACATACAATACAATCTATTGTATATGTACTAATCATCCTATATAATAATCAAAATTGGAGATTTGGCGTAATAGTATGATATAATCATAGTAACTAAGAAAAAAAAAATTCAAGGTTAGATAATTCAATCGGTTTATCTTGTTTCGAGTTCAAACTTTAAATTTGAAGAGAAAACATATATGTCAAATTATCTGGATGGGCTACGATACTATTTTATCAAAAAAAAACTTAAGAAAAAAAAAAGGGACAAAAGTGAAAGCATGCAAGTAAGTCCAAAAGTCACCATCCGACACCTAACGTTCGAAACATAAAAATCTAAAAACTCGGACTCTTGCTTGCCGTGTGTTCACACTCCTTTTTTTCCTCTCATTGGGAACAATCATTTGAGTAGCCCGTAATTTTATATTTTATGTTTTGTATACACTCTTCGAAGTATGCCTACGAATGCATATATAATTAAGGTGGCTACTTTGTGTTTAACTTGGAATTTGCTTGGGTATGAATGAATTTCTGTTTTTAGAAAATTTGTGTGGGTATGAATTTCTGTTTTTAGAAAATTTGTTTGGGTATGTTTCTATTTACTGTCGTTAGAAAAATTTTATATTCAATTTCAATATAATATATTTTTCTATTTGGATTCAAGATTTATTTATCGAGATAACATCATACCCAATTTATCTCATACCCAATTTATCTGAGACCGAAAGCACAAAATTTTTATTTTCATTCATTTCGATTTTAAGTTAAATCTTATAAACACTTGTTTCCTACTAAATAAACTTAGATTAACCTCTCTATTTTTCCATTGTTTTTATTCATGTGTTATTCACTTTTATAAATAGAATGTCTACCTATCTACGTTTTATATATTCAAATCTCCTTAAACGTCTATCTCATAATTTCTCTTATATACCTACTGTTTATGTTTTCTCTTTCATACTCTAATTTCGAATTATATTTATTTTTGTATATCCGTACATCTATCATAACATACTCATATCGATAACACTCATTTTTTATACATATTATCTTTTCGCCGTCCAACATTCGATGAGATACACTAATACAAATATGATAGCGGTACGACATAATTTCTCTTTTAACCATATGAAAATCTTACGTTTGCAAAGAACGTTCGTTCCTTATATCCATTTCATTCATCCTCCTTTTTATCATGTGAATAACATCTTCGCTACAAGTTCTATCTGTTTCAAATATTGACCGACTAAATAAGAATAATCCCATGTGTAGATGTATTTGTTTTCAAGATTTATTTACAAAAAAATATTTATTTTTTAAAAGAGGCAATTAACCATTTGTATATTACATTTAGTTTTGGTTCAGATTCTATTAATTCGACTTAAAAAAAAATTACATTGTTTAGTTCAATTATATTTTCTTTGATTGACCCTAATTACTTTTATTTAAAGGTGTTTAGCAGAATATGTTATTTAAATATATGTTGATTGTAGTTGTAATAGATATTTGATTCGGTTGTATGCATGTCTTTTGATCAGAACTAATCTTGTTATATGTGCATAGAGTTTGATGTTTAAGGTCTTCTCGTTAAAAAAAAAAAAAATTATATCCTAAAGAGTTTGGTGTTTTGGACCCAACCTCGTTACATTCAAATATGTGCCCACTAATAATTTTGACATAGAGAGAGAATTTCGCCATCTAACGAGAAAAGATTGACAATCAAAGTGCAAAGTCGCCCGCAATAATGTGTAGGTGAAATTATACAAAAAAAAAAAAAATCCTAAGTATAACAAGAAAAATAATAAATATACATACACAAGTGACAAGTACATGCATATATATACATACATACACAAGTACATATATATAATAAGATAACAAGGAACGAGAGTCAACTAGCGTGTTCACACCCATTCACACGCATCCTCTCGAATCCCGTAATAAATTCCCACTTTTTCCATTTCTATTTATGAACCAAACAATTCCTCCAATCCAAACTAAAACACCAAAAGGGAACAGAGAGCCAACTCTTACTTGTTCTCTTCCCCCGATGAACGCCGCCGTTTTCCGGGAGACTTCCGGTGTCGGAAACGGTAGCGACGACTGCGAAGACGACGGAGAAGAATCCAGTAATGTCTACGACGGCGAGGTAGAGACGACGGATCCGATCACGAAGACGAAGAAGGAGCTCAAGGGCTTTTTCACTTCCCTCTTGTTGATGGAGGAGGCGCACGATAAGCATGACCAGGAATCTAGCGATTTAGACTCCCGCCGCCAAATGCTCGATTTCCAGTCCAATTACAGGAAAAGGGCAAGAACCATGTCCGATTATTACTCCCATCTTCAAGATTATTACACCGACGCCGACGAGACATCCCGGATCACCAGAAACAAGTCACGCTCCGTCGCCGCAGCCTCCGCCGCCGTCGTCGCCGGTTCCGATCAGGAGAATTCGAATCCCGGGTCGGATCCGGGTCAGGGTCAGCAGAGGAGGTTGTGGGTGAAGGACAGGAGTGGAGCATGGTGGGAGGAGTGTAGCCATGAGGATTACCCAGAGGAGGATTTCAAGAGAGCGTTTAGGATGTCCAGATCGACGTTCGAAGCAATCTGCGAAGAGCTGAACTCTGCGGTGGCTAAGGAAGATACGGCTCTACGAAACGCGATCCCGGTTCGTCAACGAGTAGCTGCCTGCATATGGCGGCTCGCTACCGGCG